TTTAGTAGAAGGCAGCTTCAAAACATTTTATTTAGTAGAAGGCAGCTGCATTTATTGCAGCAGAGCAAAGTGACATATCAGAGGCAGCATTATTAGTTTAGCAGCATTATTATCAGCACAACTTCATTTTACAGCTCAGAACTTAACTGAGAAATACATCCAGGAGGCAGTTTGGTGTAAAAGTCACATAAAACACAGTTTTGTTTTAAATAAATAATTCAAATGTACTAGTTTATTTGCATATAACGGTAATTAACTTCATGTCATTTTCTGAGTTATACTGCTCCCTGCTGGCCACCAGTGTCAGAGGTTTACTCCTCTCGCAAACCATTGTTCCCTGGATATGAACATCCCTGATAGAGATGTTCACATCCTGGATAGAGAGGAACGATGGTTTGAGAGAGGAGTAAAGGAGGCCATCTTTGTGAAAAGAAACCGTCCATTGCTAGTATCACTCAGCCCCCTGTGAATAGTGAACAGCCATCAGTGTGCTAATGATCCATCATTAGGCTGATGGTCCTTCTTGATCATGTGAGCAGCTGGTTTTGATTGTCCGCAGCAAACTGGTTGATCCACTCTGAGAAGGTGCTATTTATAAGACTGAGCTGAATACAGCACCTCAGACTGATTAAGTATTTCGGATGAAAGACAAAACTTTTCTACTTTTTTTTTGGTTGTTGTTTTGTTTTTTGAACGTCCAGAGGACCAGATTTAACTTTTTTAGATTTTTCTACTTGGATTATTGAACATGCATCAGGATAGTGATAAACTATAATATGGTTTGAAATTTGACAATAATTAGTAATCATTGTAAAATTTAAGAAGAAATGTTTAATTCATATTGAGTGTAGTGTCATTTTTTTGACCACCGCATAGCAGTATAAGACTGTTTGAACCCAAGGATGGATAGTGAGGGAGCGAGCAGCGTATCTCTAAGAAAAATGGGAGGGAGGCTCCTTGACGTGACATGGGCTTTCTCTCCTTCCTTTTTCCGATTCTCAAAATGGCGGACGCTGTGTGGTTTGAGCTCTTTAGCATAGCATTTTTCACACAAAGCTTTCAATTAAAAAAAAAATAAAATCAGTAAACAAGTTCTCAGCTTCTTGTTGCACAGAAAAACAACTTTTTACACAAAGGCACAAGTTTCAACCATGAATTTTGGAGCTTCCACAAGACGGAGGTTTTTTCCACGATGTCGGCCTGTTAGCTTAGCTCATAGCTTAGCTTCTCAGCTTAATTGCTTTTAACGATCCAAAAACACAATTTTGGATCATTAAACGGACTTCAAATAAACTAGAAAGGGAGGGGTCAGTGAAGAGCACTGGAGTTGAGCTTTTTGTCATCCAGTGTCTTCAGCAGAAAGAGAGAGACACGAAGAAATGATAAAGCTGATAAATGAAAATGAGGTTGATGATTTTCATTTATCATGCGATTAATTAATTTATGGTTTATCGTGACAGGTCTAGTTAGTCTCATGAATAACCTTGTTTTTAAAAGTGTCCTTCACATATCTACACGTACGTTTTTACTTTTTCTAAACGGGAAACTCAGTTTCATTGTACATCTGGTGCAATGACAATAAAACATTCTTGTTGATTTGTCGAGTGCAGCAGGTGTGAATGAATGAATGAATGAACGAACGAACGAACGAACGAACGAACGAACGAACGAACGAACGAACATTAATAAAAACAAGCACTTTGCTCCAGATGAGCCGGTTTGTTTGGACAGAGACCCACTGCACACACCACCACCGAGCGTGAGCACAGGCACGGGGGAGGCAGCTTTATACAAAACAAGATTTTAGAGAAGCCCTAATAGCACTGAAGAGCCACTGTAATAAACTACGGCATCAAAGTGAACAGCAAAGATAAAAAACAAGCATTCCTTGAAAAATACACATCCCCCCACCACACGCACACACTCCACCATTAAACAAAGATCCTGCACTATGTTAGCACTCATCAAATACGTTAAGAAAGACTCAGCGACCACCACACCAAATATCAGCTCAGTATCTGTAAATCCAGTGAGTTACAAGCATTTTGCATTTACTAAAATGGCTTTGCTGGGGCGGCCATCTTGAATCAGGTCGACTCTAAAAGTGAATCAGTTATAGATGTATATTCAATTATTACTTCCTGAGAGGTTCAATAAAATCTGTCCACTGAGTTATGAGATATTTTGCTAACAGACATATTCATCTAAAATGGCAGCTGGGAAATGAATAAAGTGACTGAAGTTGCTCGTCTAAAGCTTTTAAAAGATCTCTGATGTGAGGTGAATCAGCCTCATCAGTGCTGGGGCCTTTTGCTCTTTGGTTTACAGACTTTTTAAAAACACAGGATTTGGCTTCTTTCCACATAAAATCATCTGAAACATTCATTCGAACAACAGAAACACATCATAGTCCTGAGGACAAAAACACAAAACAGGCACTTTGAAACTGACACTTGATCTGAGCAGCTTCGGATCAGAAGGTTGAACATAAACATCTGTACATCCAGCTGTTTTTCACTGAAGCTTCATTGAACCCCCAGAGGTTCACCTGGTTCACTGACGGACATGGATGAAGACATTACTGCTGGCTTCACCTCTGAGCAGTGTACAATGATGAGGATGTCCTTATTCCAGATCAGACCGTCCACACCTGCTTCCTGTCCTGTCATGGCTCTGCTTCCTGTTTTGATTGACAGCTGCTCCTCAGTGAAGTCACCTGGAAGGTGTTCAGCAGTGGGCGTGACCTTTGAAGAAGTCGGGCCAAACCCGCAGCAGCTCTGAAGGCTCAAAGTTGTTGACGATGATGAGTCCAGCGAAGGTGCACCTGTCGTAGTCCAGCTTTCGGATCTCAAAGAGGTTCCTGAGGAAGAACAGGCTGCGGGAGTAGACGGGCCGGACCCCCAGGACCCTCAAACACAGACCCACGTAGACATCCTCCATGGGGATCAGCTGTACAGACCTGGAAGCCCAGGATATCCGTCCTGCCAGATCAGAGGAGAACACATACCCTGCTCCGGAGACGTAAGGGGGGAAGCTGTCCTCCGGGTACATGTCCTTTGACAGGTACCACTTGCTGCTGGGGTCCCTCCTGGGCCTGCCATCCCAGATCACTGACCCTGTTATGAAGCTCTGTGTGGGGGAGGTCCGGAGGCGGTCTTTGAGGTGGAACACGTTCACAAAGATGTCAGCGTCCACCTTCATGGCAAAGGAGGTGTTGGGGCAGTGGGATCCCAGCCACTTCATCATCATCAGGGTCTTCAGGGTCAGGTTCTGGTAGGAGTCCATGAAGTCCATCTGGATGATGTCTTCATGCAGCCTGCTCTCATGCTCCAGCTCCTCCTGGATTGGGCGCAGGTCTCCTGTCTCTGGGAGTCCTGTAAAGAACAGGGTCAACGTGTCCGGACTTGGAGCTCCTGTTGGATTTCATGTTTTATCTTTTATCATTATTTTAATCAAGCTTGAAATTTCTTTAATTAACTTACAATCATTTAAATATTAATCAGTTACTTTGATTTGAATTACTTAGTTAAATAGAATATTGAACATAACTAGTTCTAAAATCATCTAGTAGAAGTTCTCCTTTACTCACACACACACAGAATCACACGTGCAGGGACTGACACACACACACACACACAGAACAGATGAGAATGTAGTTTGCTTAAACATAACTAGTAAAGGTGATAAACTTAATATAGTTGACTAAACTTAGTAAAGATGATAGAACTTAATAGCTGATTAAACTTAATTAGTAAGGACAGTAGAAAGTAGCATTGAATAGTTTAACAAGCATTTAATCGTTTAACAAGTATACTCAGCTCAAGAGAAAGTTAACAAAGAGCCATAAAACCATAAAACCTTATCTTTTGGTATGTGACCTCCAAGGCTGAAGAGCCCCGTAACCATGACAACGGAGTGTTTAAACCAATCAGGAGCAGTCTTGGTAAAATAAGGGAAAGAGTCAGAACCGAGGTCATTGCATTTTGCTGGAGACTCCGATGAATCAGGTCTGTTCTCATAAAATGCCCTTTGTATGCATACAATTGTAATTGTATCTTGAATGCTGAGTACTTGTAAATCTGTCAAATAAATCTCTTTGAACTAAGGAACTGCTTCAGCTGTATTGAACACCAAATGTGGTTCTCATAAGCCACGTCAATTGGTGACCCCGACTGGCAGCTGCAGTCCATGAATTGAGACGAGGTCGGTCCAGTACTCCCACATTGTGAAATCCTGGGCCCCTTACTTCAGTTTAAGGTAAGCGAGAATTTCCTTGTTTGCTTCGGCTCTAAAAACTCGCATATTCGGCTGTAAACTAAATTGACTTAGTTAGATTTTTTCCACTGTGGGAGTTCAGACCGCCTCCTGAAACAGGCATTTGGTAAGCTAATTTAAACTTATTTGGTTGTCCTCAGACGGATGATTTGCTTGTACTCAGGATTTTAAAGTGTTGCGCATGCGTACGTTTAATAGGTGTTATGTGCACGGCTTACTTAGACATTTTTAGGTAGTTTACACAAGCTTGTGGGCTTGTCCGGTGGACGGCAGTGGCCTGCCGGAAGTCACGTGGGTGACGACATTTTCTCTCAATTTTCAGCGGGTTTTGCCAACCAGAACTTTCGTCTGACGAGGCGTAGGTCCTACAGCGTCTCACAAGCGCCTGTAGGGGCAGAGGGTCGGGCCTCCTCCAGCCAGTGTTGACTGCGGCTTGAAAGTGGACCCCATTACTTACTTTAGCTTTGAGAGAAAATGAGTGAAATAGCTAGAGTATTTGCCAAATTTCCGGTGTTCTGGGAGTTCACCGTAGTGTAGAAATAGTGTAAGTTCATTGTGTGCCGTGCTGTGCAGAGGGCGACAGGCATTCTGTCTGTGTGTGTGAAGGTCTTTATTTTTTTTCTCTCTCTTCTTCACTGAGAGAGGGGGAAGGGTGATTTTTTTTTTCTCCTCTTCACTGTCTTCAGTGTGGGCTGTGATTTGCGGGCTCTGTTTGTGAGACAGCTTTGCTTTTTTCTTCCTTCTGCTTATCAGTTTTAACTGAGGGGGGAAGGTGGAATTTTTTTTTTTTTTTTTCTTTCTCTTTTCTTTTTTCTCTCTTTCACTGTTTTCAGAAAGGAGGGGGTGTTTCAGTGTCAGTGTTTCAGTGGGACTGGTGCTACCATATCCTGACCGAAAGGGGGCGCTGTTGTATTAGGCAATTACAAGGCTTTACTTGCTTAAAGTGAAGACTTGTGTTGATTTTTCCAACAGATGCCTGGACTGTTTGAGAATAAAAACAATTGAATGCAAGTGTGAATGAATGTTGTCAGCAGGTATGGAGTACATAACTAACAAATCTGTAACTGGTGCTGAAACTTTACAAGAACAATCTAAGAGAGTTAAAGCTGTGATTAATGTTATACATGCAGCCAACACAGTTAAAAGTAAGGCATTGGACAGCCTTTTGACTCAGCTAGTCCAGACCGAGGTGAGAACATCACAGACGCTTACACAACTAGCTTGGGATAAAGTTAAAGATCAAAATACACAAATTCAGGAGCTTAATGAGGATTTACTGACATGTGACTCTTTTCTTAGACGTCAGAAGCTTCAAAAGAAATTAGATAAGCGTAGTAGCATTCAGGAGATGTATAAACAATTAGCTTTGTTGTGTCAGAGTGTGCAGAATTTGGGGACGTCAGAACAACTTAAACCACCACCTTATGTGACGGAGGTCAAAGAGGCGACAGCACCACCTGCTGGACAGTGCGTGACATCTCTGTCAGAGACATCTGCTGATAAGAGTTTGCCTACAGCGCCTCCTGCTGGTATCTATCCGGTGCTGCGGGTTCAGGAAGGCAGACTGGCTTATGAAGGGACTGATAATGAGGACAGTGTTACCCTGAATGACAACTTAGGGGGAATAGGTGACAGAATGTCAGCGCAGAGAAGACTACGGTTCAATGATGAGTTTTCTGACCGTGAGGATGTGGGGGCCAGGAAAGCTCGGTGTAAGAGTGGTTCACGTGATAGTGTGAGGGTAGACGAGTGGGGTGAGGTTGCAGGTCCGAGTGGGACTCACCTCGGTAAGTCTCCTTTGCGAATAGACAGAGCGAGGGTCATTGAACGCGGAGATAAACGTACCAACTTGTATATTCAGGGAAGGTTGACAGGAGTGGTTGAGGAGGAGGACGTTGTGGAGAGCCCACGGGAGAGGGTTTCCACCAGTTCTAGAAGACCTCCAGATAAATTACATTATGAATTTCCAGGTTCGCCGGTGCGGACCCCTACTCTCACTCCTTGGAGCAGTGAACACACCCTTGTGGAGGTGGACGCAGTGGGGCAGAGCAGTCAGGGTTTGCAGCTTCCGTTGCTGAGCACACAAGGGCCGAGAGGTGTGGTGTCAGGTTATAAGCCGTTCCATATACGTGATTTGGAGTCAATAACAGATAAACTTCCACCGCTGATTCAAGGTGGGGGACGCTGGTTGGAGAAGTTTAATGCCCTAACCTTAGGTTTGACCCTGGCAGTGGGGGATTTGAACGCCGTTTTTGCACGCTGTGCTAATCAGGCCACCGTTCAGACATACTTACACTCTATTATAGATACTTCTCGGGGCCGTGGTAGGATATTAGAACTTCCAGATGAGACTCCGTTGTGTGAGGTGTTTATGCACTTAGCACCTATTATCAGAACATTGTACCCGTTACCGGCTGGTGTTGCGGTACCAGAATTTAAATGGAACAGGACTGTAGACCCGTGGGAATATATGGAGCAGTGTAAGGACACTTGGGAGAGAGTGACAGGTGTTCATGCTCAAGCCGTACAACAACGCCCGTATTTTAGAAAAGCAGTTCTTGACTCTCTGCCAAAAGAAGTTGTGGAAGAGTTGGAAAAGAATGTTGACTTACTCACAGCATCTCCTGATCGGTGGGAGAAACACGTGATACATCGTTTGAGATATGAGAAAAAGCAGGGTGACAAGGAGGCTGCTGAATTAGAGACTATGCGTGCACAATTACTTAAACTTCAGCTGTCGGATGCCAGAAATAAGCAGACTGAGGAGAAAAAGGCTAAAGATAAGAAACAATTATCTGTCCAGTCAATTACAACAGTAAATGAGGAGCCGATTTCCACTGGAACAGTTGCTCTGCAGCAGTGGTCAGAAACACCAGGCCGGAGGGCCAGAGGTGGACATCCGATGAGGTCAGTCGGACGGGGAAGAGGGGGAGCGAGACAGAGACCGATGTCATGGGGCTGGGGTTCTTCACAATGGGGACAGCGGGGGGATGCTTGTTTCATCTGTGGCCAACAGGGGCATTGGGCTAAAGACTGTTACTACCTGGCCGCATCAAACTACGGGCCACGAGGAGGCTTCCAAGGGCCATTCCAGCAACCCATGAGACCACCACATCCTTTTGCACACCAGATACCAAGTGCACCACATCCTTTTGCACACCAGGTACCAAGTGCACCACCGGCACTGCAGCCTCAACAACCACAAGCAGGATATCCTCCTCTCGGGATAGAGGGGAGGGGATTCCAACAACAATGAGACACCCCACAGAAAATGCTGAGTGTTGGAGGAGGGGCAGACCCAACACTGGAGGTGACAGTTAGAACGGAGAAGTTGCCGTTTCTAGTTGATACAGGAGCGACATTTTCAACAATTACTCACTTCCCAAGAAACTGTGAACTGTTGAATAAGTCGGTGGAGGTGGTTGGATTTTCTGGGGCAAAACAAAGACTGCCGGTGACATGTCCGCTTCGCACAAAAGTGGGCACTCAGACTCTGTTACATCCCTTTGTGATAGCTGAACATTCACCAGCTAACCTTTTAGGGAGAGATCTTCTCATCAGGTTGGGAGCTTCAATTCTGTGCTCTTCTGATGGACTTGTGGTGAGATTACCCGATGGCACCTCGCTGGAGTGCGGACTGGTCACCACTACTCACTCACAGTGTGTGATCCAGCCTGTCCATGATGAATATGTTGACATCTACTGGGGACTGCTTGAACCTGAGGTCATGGGTGGAGGAGGTATCTTTTCTGTTTTTCTCACGTGGAAGCCTTGGCTAATGACATTACATCCGTTCTCTGCTCCACCTGACCCCCCACATGTCACTCTCTTTTATGATCGCAAAGGCGATGAGGTGTACCAGGACCACTTTGCAGAACAACTGTCAGAGAAAGTCTGGCCCATTGAAAGTGGGAATATTATTGTTGGCAAGGAGGGAGTAGCAGCTAGTGTTAACTTAACACCTGAACAGAAGGAGTGGTATAAGATGGGGGCTGAGGCAGCGCCTCATATTTCACTAGCTTTGAATCCAGCATTTCAAGCAAGGGACTTAGGACCTATGGTTAAAAGGGCATTAGAGACCTCAGATTGGGTTGAAACATCTTTAACATCCGTCTGGTATTCCCCCAGCTGTGAGTGT